CAGCCAAGTTAATACTTAACCATCACAGACAGCATTACTCTCACCTCATACCTTGTTATCCATTATTGCCAGATGTACGTCATAAATGCACAAACTATTAGAATAGTAGATAGTAGATTTTTTTACTATTGTCATAAATGCAACATGTTGGATAATGAAATAGTTGGTAAGTGAGGAGTAGATGTATTTAGAAATTGGACATCATTACTCCATATCGCTAATAGATATACAGACAAAGAAACTAATAAATAAAATGAATCAGCATTTTTTAAAACACAGGAAGTTTGGGTCATGCAAGGATTATCAGTAGACTCTAAAACTAGAGGGGAATTTTGATGACCAACAAGATATTTTCATGGTCTTAGAGTGTTTCCCTTACATTGTTTATTAGTTGTAAAGGAAATAATAGTAATTATATGGTAGACAAATCAGACATCATCTTGACCAGATAACCCAAACTAACATCATTACTGAGGGACAAGTGAGCATTTTGTCTGCGAGGATGTGAGACCTTGCAGGAAACACAATAACGTCCATAAACTATTCTAGCCAAGAATGAGAAATCTGAATCTAATGAGGAGGAAACATCAGAAAAACTCACAATAAAGAACCTTTTTTTAAAAAAAGGAGAAAATGGGATTTTATTCTTCAAAAATGGCAATGTCATAAAGACAAAAAAAAAAAAAAAAAAAAAGCTGTGGAAGTGTTTCAGATTAAAGGAGAGTACAATGGCATAGCAACTAACTGCAGATTACGTTATTACATACCTGCCCCATGAGTGGATCCAATGTTTGGAGGGGAAGAATACCCAAAAGGCCATTTTTGGGTCACTTGACAGAACTGGAACACAAATGGTAGGTTTGACAAAAAAGTATTATGTCAATATAATGTTCTGTTTCCTGAGGTTGGTAACTATGGGGTAGAGAATTAACTTAAAAAATAGATAAATAAAAACTATTGAGAGAGAGAAAACAACAAAAATCAGTAGAGCAAATGAGGTAGACTGTTAGGGGGTCCAATTGTTCTTTGTAGCATGTTTCTTGCAATGTTTTTGTAACTTTAAAACTCTTTCCAAATAAAAATCGAAATAGTTTTAAAAGTATTTAATTTTAGCCTAAGGAACTTATGGAAAAGCTCATGAAACTATTTTCTCCAAAGTGTTCATGAGGTCAAATTAGAGTTATAAGTTGAAACCCTCAAATTCTTTTACATGCATGACAGCCTTATATAATTCACATCAACTGCCTTGTTGCCTTTGATAAATAAATTTGTATAATATTTGTATTTTTAGAGTGTGAAAATCAGATATTGAACAACTGTTGCAGTACATTAAACATTACCAGGCTCTACTTTCTCTTTGTATAAGCCTTGGTAGCACAATGGTTACACACTCAGCTGCTAACTAAAAGTTTAGTGGATTGAACCCACCCAGCAGTTCTGTGGGAGAAAGATCTGGTGATCTGCTTCTATAAAGATAATAGCCAAAAACTCTATGGGACAGTTCTGCATGTTACATATAGCCACTCTCAGTTGGAATTCACTAGATGGCAAACAACAAACCAACACTCTTCTTATATGTAAGAACTTCACTATGCTGTCCATGTATTCATTTTCATATATGATGAGATGAGAAGAATTGTATGGTGCCTGGCAACCATTACTGAATGGCTTGATGGAAAATTTTACAGACAAATCCTGATCAAAAGGGAGAAAAGGTGGATCAGAATTTCAAATTATCAATGGTATCCAGACATTCTGAAGTCATTGATGCTGAATGAAACAACAAAATGAATGCCCAGAGATAATCTTTAAACTTTAAACCTTAGGTCCAAATTATTCCCTAAGTCTTCTTTGATGCAAAAAAACAAAAATAAAAACAAAAAAAACCCACAAAAAACTCAATTAGTAAAGTACATCTGTTTTGATTATTGTGCTCTTTTTAAAAAAAATATCTATGTGGGGTTAAACTGACAGCAGCAACTCATAGGATTGAATGGGAAGCTTAGGTCACAATGAATTTAATATGATGTTGAAATACTTTGGAAAATGATAGTGAGAATGGTAGTACAATTGAATGTAATCAATATCCCTGAATTGTGCTGTAGAAATTGTGAAGTATCTTTATGTGTACTTTCATAAAAACAAGTTAAATCCTTAACAAGGAAAAAACAAATTATCATTGGATCCAGAGTATATAGATCTATATTAGTACTACTGAGCACTCTATTCTTTCATTTCCCCCTTGCATAAAGTCAACAGGATCTTTCCATCATTTAATGCCACCTTATATATATATTCCCCTCACATATATTGATCTTACCTTACATATTCATTATATGCCAAGTAACGAGAGGAGAAGGCAAAGTCAAGCTTAACAATGTGAAATAAATAGAAATTTTCTTATAAGTGGGTAACAAGACTACAAAGACAGAACTCTAGCAAACATTGCATGCACAATGGAAGGAATTCCTTCCTGGTCTGTCACCATCCCCATGACCAGCTGCTGATTAGACCATCAGGACCCAAAGGGTTTTCATTGGCTGATTTTCAGAAGGAGATTGCCAGGCCTTTTTGCTAGTTTTCCTAGGAAGATCTGCTGAAATCTAGTGAACATCATAGCAACCTCCACTGACAGATCAGTGGTAGTTGCCCATGGGGTGCATTGGTTGGGAACTAAAACTGGGTCTCTTCATGGAAGGCGTGAACATTACCACTGCGTCACCACTGCTCTCAGTTAATACATACACTCCAAATAGTAAAGATAAATTATGTTTTTTAAGTTATATAAATGTTGTATAGCATTCATTTGGTCTGATCTTCAGGCAATCATCTGCATTTCACTGGGATGTTTACATCTCTGACTATTTTGAATGTATGATGTACTAATACACTTCACTGCTTTGGCCAATATATAGTAATAGAGTGTTCTTTAACTCCAGGACATGCCTGTGATCATAGATATTGTTACAGTTTTAAAGGATGTTATTTGTTGTATAAGTATAAAATCCATATTTTCAAAATATGGAAATGCAAATGAATTCTTAATTCATAAATGATCTAATTTTCCTTTTCTATTATTAACTCTATTGTATATGTATTTCTTAATTAGGTTATTGTTGTTAGTTGCTGTTGAGTCAATTCTGACTCATGGTGACCTCATGTTTGCAGAGTAGGCTTTCTAAGGCTATAACCTTTCAGAGGTAGATCACCAGTCCTGTGTTCTGAAGTGACTCTGGATAGGTTCTCACCATCCTTTCAGTTATCAGTGGAGCCCTCAGCTCACAGTGATGTGAAAAAAGAACTAGCTCCATCTACCTATCAGTTCCCGATATGCACTCCTACCTCCCACACCCACCCCAGTAAATTTGTATTTAGCCATGTAGATTTATTTATTTTTCTCTTTTGAGTACTGAATTGTAAGAAATGGAAGTGTACCTTCTCATTGTTCTATTGAATTATGCTGTAACTTGGCTTGAGTTTAAGTCCATAGACTATCCATTAGTGTCTCTGCCTAAAAGACTTAATAGTCAAAATTATAACCTATAAAACCGTATTTTTTTCATCATTGATATTATCATCACCACTGCCATCTATTGATTCTGACTCATAGGGACTCTATAGGACAGAGTAGAACTGCCTCCTAGGGTTTCCAAAGCTGCAAATCTTCATGTAAGTAGACAGTCACATCTCTCTTCCACAGAAGTGCTGGTGGGTTCCAATCACCAACCTTTTGGCTAGCAGCCAAGCACTTAACAACTGTACTACTATAGTTCCTAAGTATTAGTAATGATTTATGGTAAGTACAAAATAAAACATAATTGCAATTGACTTATAACTGACAAAAATAAGGGTTTATATTTTTACATAAAAAATAAGGTTCATATTATATCATTTTATGTAAGAGGAATGCATCATTAACCATAAAGATTTCTATTTTAGTACAGGTTTTTAAACCTTGGTGCTCCTTACATCATTATATTAGCCATTTTGTGATACTTAGAGAAATTTTTGTTGATTACATATCCTACTTATCAAATAAGTTTGAGCAAACTCCTTTAAAGTATGAAATTCACTACTTATCCTAGTCTAAATGAGTATCAACTAGGGAAGAGGGGTGCTTGAAAGGAAAGGAAAGAAATCTACAAACATGAAGAGCATATATCCCTAGTGAACAGATACTAGAAGTGACAATAGAGGCATATCTTAGGTATGACAGGTATGGATGTGCCCTGGGCATCACTTGAAGTGGGGTGCCACTGAGCAATTTCTAATAACCATTGCAGTTTCCATTGCTGTGGGAGCTCGTTCAGCAAGTTAAAATAAATACTTTGATATTCGAGAGCCTCCATGGATCAAGGAGGCTGGTGACATGGTGTTTAAAGAGCTCAGCTGCTAACTGAAAGACTGGAGATTCAAATCCACCAGAGGGAGCAAGATGTGGCAGTTAGCTTCCCTAAGGATTTACAGCCTTGGAAACCTCCTCTATCCTTACAAGGTCATTAGATGGCATTGGGTTTTTGGATTTTATGGGTCAAGCCAGACTGTGTGGTTTTGCTCTGCTTTGTGTAGAAAGAGAAGAAACTGAAAAAAACAACTTTGATCACATCAAAGACCAAATTTCATCAGTGAAAGCATGGAAAGTGTAGTTGTGATTTTCATATAGTATCATAATGTGTTAAGTAAAAAATCAATGAGTTTTAGTTGTATTTTTGAGCTGTTATTATGGTAACATTAACTAATAGATAAGTGTCAGATGTTTGGATAGGGGTGCAATTCCAGTTCTTGCCATAGGCACATTTTTCATAGATAGGCTTCTGAGTGACAGACCAAAATGTATATATAACATCAAGCATGTAAAGCAACACTACTTTTAAATCCAGTCTCGATCAAGAGCATAGATATTCTATAGATTTCAGACCAAAAGAACCATGAACACCTGAGAATACATTTCTGCAGACTATCACTAGTTACTAAAATAAATAATTTTTTTTTTCCACCAGGATTGACATCTTTAAGTATGTGATCTACGGCATTGCAGCTGCATTCTTTGTGTACGGCATTTTGCTGATGGTGGAAGGTTTCTTCACAACTGGGGCCATCAAGGATCTCTACGGAGATTTTAAAATCACCACTTGTGGCAGATGTGTGAGCGCCTGGGTATGTTATTGCTCTATGTTCAGTATTTAGTA